ACATTTATTTGCTCATATATTGTGTTAGTATAGTTGTTTCATTAGTTTTTAGTTTAACAATATTTTGCCTTCTATAGTAAATATATATCAAATATGTACATTGAAATAAATTTATATAAATTATGTCAGATAAGTGAATTATAGTCATATTATACTCGGTCATATCTAAATTCAAAACAAAATCCTATTATGTCAAACACAATAATATACCTATTAATGTCTATTATTCTTAGAACATACATAAAATGTCAATCGATTACTAATTCAAATTTAAGAATATGACACTTATTATAATGTTACAAATGCCAGTTATATAAGAATAAAAGATTATACAATAATCTTGTAAAAAATAGATATTCATGCGATAGTTATTTATCATTTAAATATTAATTAATGGAGTGGTAGCTACGAATCAGAAGCCAATGAGATGAGGAATATTTGAATATATTATTTTCACATGGCAGCTTTTGTTTTTTGATTTTATTTAAGTTTTCAAAACTCGATGTCGGAGCGTGTTTTATTTAATCTGTTAATTCCCCAAATAACATAAAAATATTCCTTATGGAATTTATCACGATGACTTAAACATTTATATGTGTTATTGTTTATTGTACTAGTTTTATTATTAAATAACTCGTGATTTTACAGCCATGTTATCAATCAAACTTGGTGACCCCAGCCAGGGTCAGTAAACAACGTTCCGGTTGCTTCAGTGGTCAAAGTCAGGTTTGTTTTTAATTTCTTTGTTTCAGATAAGTTTTGATGTTTTATTCCCGGGGAAACCCAATGATCGTTTTCCCTGATGATTTGTTTAACATTAATCATTGCTATTAAGTTTCTTTGTTTAACCAAGGATACGTATTATGCGTGATACATTATTGCGTAGATAAATAATAAGAATGTAATAAGTATTAAATATAAATAGTTGCCGACCTACGCAGCCGAGTGGTTCACACGCCGGTTTCAAGGTGACGCCATCTCTGAAGTCACGGGTTCGATTCCTGGTCAATATAGACAATGAATTTTTCTATAATGTCTCGGGTCTGGGTGTTATGGTGCCTTCGTTGTCTCAGATACTCAATAATACGAGTGCTTTAGCTACTCATCTTGTAATCTGAGCAATGTATGTGATGTTGTTTAATATTTATTTAGTTAACCGACTTTCTAAAGGAGGAAGTTCTCAATTTATATCAATAGTGCACTGATTTAGATAACTTTCTTCTCTCATTTTTTCAAAGGGTAATTAGGATCGAGATCCAATTATAACATTTCACTTTGTTTCAATTACACGCGTTTCTTGTTAGTCTATTTTTTGTTACTGACTTTCATAACATGAAAATTGTCTAAATTTCAATTAGGTAAATCTATTGTTTATTTATTTTTAAAAATTAAATCGCTTCTCGCTGTCTGTACGCTGAAATCTTTTAAACAACACAACGGATTTTGATGCGGTTTTCATTAATATACAGAAAGCCGGTTGCACAAACTTAAAACGACATTACCGATACAAATTTGACATTAATTAGAAGTTAAAGGAGTCATCAAACCTAAGTGGACGTATGTGCAACTGATCAAGATTGATTCAAAAGGAAGGCTTATAGTTATAGGTCTACGCGGCCGAAGCCACTGGCGGAAAGCTAGTTAAATTTATAAGTATTTTATCTAACGCAATAAAGTTAATTATCACTTAACCCACCACCTTTGTGGTAATGTTTATGTTGCATTTACTGATTACTCAATATACCGGTAAGCTTTGATTACCTATACGGTAAGGTTCATCGGAGTATTATCTTGTTCCTTTTTATTATTGTTGCTAACATAGTTTATCTTTTGGATTGACCCTTCGAAGGTCAAATGAAGTAATCCATTTATAATTAAATTCATCATCTGTATAGAGCAAAGAGTTCAAAAACTCTGGGCTTTTTGACGTGTAGGCGACGGCAAATACATTTTTTTTCTTTCATATTGTGTTGAAACTCCCGTGGAGCTCTGGGATACTCTTAAAGTCGAGGGTAAACACGTTGGGCTTAAGGCCAATAGCCGAGACAGTCCAGTAAGTCAAGTCAGTATCGGCTTTTTGTAAATGGAGATACCTAATCCTCGAGCCAGTGCAATGAAATTGAATATTTTCTGATTTTACTGGATTGCTCGGCTACTGGCTTCGTGTAAATGGACCCTCTCCTTTTCCAGCGTTCCAGTACGTCTAACAAGATAAGTTCGACTGTGTTCACACCACCCACTCCCGAGTCGGCAGGGTACAGCAACTTTTTAAAGAATCTCTAACGGTATCAAAACATACACCACTGCTCTTGCGAATTGGGATGATGTTTTTTTAAGTCCTTCAGGTAGATTATTGATGAATATTAAACTTGTTGTTTTTTTATTTTTGCCTAATAAATTACAGCGATAGATTGAGATGAAATGTCGTATGACATCACACCTTTGTAAATTTTCTACATAGATGTGACGTAGCGAGCTTCCAATTCTCAACATTAATGGCTATTATTTAAGCCGTTCCTGTTAAATTGAAGTAAAAAATACGTATCTAATATTTTTCTGTTATCTGACTGATCTTTTACGCAAGCATCATCCCTATTTTTTATAATTACCTGTTCTATGTGTTCTTTAATTTTTTCAAGTATTTTTATATTTTATACATTTGAAAAGTTAAATCAATTTTAATTATACTAAGTTAGTTTTTTCTCCGTACATTCTTTTACCTAAGTGACTAGTCTTTATCCATTTTCACTTATCAAATGTGAGCGAATATTTCAAATCACAAAAAATCACATAAAAGTCGCATTTTCTCTTTACATTATAAAAATAATATTATAGGTACTATTTCATTGGAAACATTATACGTTTTAATTTTAATTGCAGCCGTAAACAATCGGATACTAGTTAAGAGGTTTTTATACGTCGACCTTAATTACTGTAACGTAACAATCAATTATAATTAATGAAATAGTCAAATTTAATAATGTTTTTCACAATATACCGAATCCATCGTCACTGTACAAAATCGTTCATGATTAATCGATAAATCTGTGTAATGAGTTTATATTGAAAAAGTTGCAGTTTTTGTAATACTGATCTTGTTTCGACGATTCGATGCTTTTAGTGGTGAACTTTTTTTATCTGAATATTGGGATTGAATTAACTAGACTTCATTAATGAAGAGAAAAGTCTTAAATTTTTTAATCTACCGTGAAAAAACGAAAAATATCAAACTTCTTGTAGAATACTACGAAACTTTTTGGTGTCGGAACCGTTTTTATTGGATATTTACCGACCCATAAGAGATGTGTGAAGGTAAATAATCACACGCTTTGATTTTGTAAGGTTATATATTCAACTTTGGATTACAATATGCTCTACCTTTAGAAAGCATGTAGCATTTCCATAGGATTTTAGTAGGCGGAACCATCTATTGATGACAAAAACAATATCCCGTCATTGTATTTAAAGATAGTTTTAATTAGACGCCGACGTTTAGACGACGTGACGCTTTCGTTCTCATTACTCAACATTGTCATTAGTCTCTTGTTGGAGGTTAGTTTATTTTCCTTGAGATGGAAAGAGATAAAAGCCAGTAAAATTACTTTTGTTAGATAACGGCTATTCAGAACAAAACCTACTAGTGCGATGTTTTTTAACACGCTATATAAATTGGGCAATGTTAAACTCAAAGACTGTCTCCTTCTCTCTTCTTCTTTAATAATAAATAAGCGTAGCATTCTATCTCCTTTTTCTTAATCTATACTATTATTATAACGAGGTATATTTCTAACTTTGTTTGCTAATTTTCGGAATTACTGATCCGATCATAATAATTCTTTCACCTACAAGAAACTAAATCATTCGCGGGTGATATAGGCTTTAAATTACGCGGGCGAAGTCACGGGACAACAGCTAGATTTTAATATATAGGTATAGTTATAATCACTCGCTACTTGGTTTTACAAAATTGAGATTGTAAATCTTTACTCGTATTTCTCTTGAGATGTAATGTTTGTTTTGTGATAATTTATGAGTGAAAGTTGTTTTCTGCTTATTGTCCAGGTTGTTCCTTAGCGATAGCAGTGAAGAGTCCGGCTATCATTCCAATGGATCTCCGTCTATTTTATATTGTAACGGACTAGATAAGAAATGTTCATTCAACAAGAAGAAGATTATGAAAGCTTTCTTTTGATTTGATTTTTAGTTAATTTCTCCAATAGTTTTAGTGATTTTTTTGATTATTGCTTGTTGTTGTTTGTTATAATTTTCATCTAATATGCATGTTCAATAAAAAATGTTACAAATAAATAATTGTCGAACAACTTAAACTATTATTATTAATGATTTGATAAGTACCTTTCTGAAAACCATTAGCTATCTTTTTAGAATCCTAGTCGTAGTAACCAATGTAGTCATTATATTAAGTAATGCATATAATGAGTAGAAAATATTGATATCGTTATATTTGAGAGCTAACTTTGTGATATTTTTCAATCGAAGGTTTTCATAAACAACTGTAAACAATCAGTTTTGCTATTCTATTTAAAAAAAAGAGTGTTATTGCCGCAACCGACTTCAAAATGTAAGAGAAGTCTTTTGATTGAACCTCCAAAATCTGCACTAATACTACAGAACTAGGCACAGGAACTAGGTATGATATAACCCTACCTTATTTTCAATGAGAAATAATATTTCGAGCACCAAAATAATTGTAAATCTGCATCAAAATTATGATATTAGATTCTCATGATGCTCCGTTTTTAATTTTTAATGTGTGCTTCTAATTTTTGTTGTGTGTGTGTTTTTTATATACATTTACTGATTCCGCTGCTTATGTTGGTGATAATCTAACCCATTTATCACTACAATCAAATTTTTATTGTGATAATAGAGTGATTTTAAAATATCTTTCGTAATCAAATCAAACGAACATGCCAAAAGTCAAAAAGGTTTATTACAAATCACTCCGTTTCCGATCGATAGATATGTTTTTGGGTATCCTAATGGATTGGCAGGATTCCTTTGTTCTGCTGATAGCCGCCACTGGCTTCTTGATGTCCGTGTACGGCGTGAGCTCCGAGGTTGTTGAATTTCTCCAAAAGTTCGGCACCACCCTTGTAGCCTTTTTGCAGGAATTCACCCTGTAGACATTATGAAGTTTGAATTAATAAATAAATTATTAGTTCCTATGTATGCCTTAATATAGGTTAACTATTATACATTAGTTTCAGTACTTATAATTTGATCGTGAAGTTCTTTAAATACCTTGGGAATTGAGAATGTTTGTGAATTAATACCAGAATGTCGTGACACGATATATCGTGTGAAACATAGCTAATTTATCAAACTGAAATTCTCTGCGGAGACGTGTGTCAGCTAAGTTAGTTAGTAAAAAACATTAATGACTGTAATAAAAAAATATGACAATGTCTTAGGTCAATCTGCGTTTCTGAAGCTAATAGAAAAACCTTAAATAAATATTAGAGTAACATGATTTTACTACAGATATAAAAACGAAATTCGCACGTTATGCGACATCATAACAGATTATATATTAAAATTGCCAAACGTGAATTTAGCGCGATGAGCTACGGGTGGATAAGTACTAGTTTTCAAACATTCGTTTGACATGCGGTAAGGGAAACAGATTCGGGAGAGTGGGTTAGATGTAACCTCCTAGCCATGTTACGATTTAATATCAGACCTAACGTTATGAAAAAAGTGCAATATTGTGTATGAATTATATTGGATTATGTATGTTAAATGTAATATTAAAATAGGAAGAAGTCTTCCAAATAACTCACCTTGTTACCCTTGGCATCATCGAATTTTTGTTCGGCGACGTGATGACCCTCTTTGCCTTGTGCGTTGGCGTCCAGGATTTTTTCTTCATGTGCCCCTTTGAATCCTTGCTGTGAGTTTTCACCGAAGGATCCAGCATTTTGCCCGGCAATTTTGTGATCGGCTTCGTCATGTGCTTCGTCATAGAAGCTTTCTGTTTTCTCTTCTTCGTTTTTACTGCTTGACGTTTTGAAACCCTTGCTTACGTGGCCTTTCTTGTGGCTCTTGGCTTTCTTTATTTGCTCTTCGTTGGCACCTGATCGAAAAATTAATATATTATTATTTAAGCAGCAATACAATGTATGGATTTGTGACGAAAATAATGTTATTAGAAAAAAAAAACAAAACAGATAATAGAAATTGAAAGAAGTTATAAAAAATCGAGAGGAAACTTACCATGCTTGTCAACTTTCTGGGCCCCTTCATAAAATTTCTCATCGCCAGCAGCTTTCTTCTTAGCTTCTTCATCTTTGTAAAAACTTGACTCTCCCTTTTCCCCTTTGGCAGCAGCAGCAGCTTGTTGAAAACCTTCTTGACCGTGTTTAGTTTCTTCTTCCGCTTTCTTTTCTAATTTCTCAACATTTTCATCAGCGCCTTTCTTCTGTGCCGCATCGTATGCTTTTTTATCCACATATCCTCCGCCAACTTGAGCTCCTAATATCGGATGGTAGAGGAGCCCATTTCCAAGGCCAATGCCTCCTACTCCTAGACCCCCAATACCAGGGTTAATTAAACCAACTCCATTAGCTACACCACCCACACCGACACCACCAACGCTTGTACCACCAAGACCAAATCCTAAACCTTGACCAAGTCCAATACCGCCAACACCTAAGCCGCCAAGGCCACCAATGCCATATCCAAGACCTCCAACTCCTCCTACGCCACCGACTCCTCCAACAGTATTAAGGATTGTTGAAGCAGCTCCTTCAATTTGTTCAGGATAATCTTCACTTTCTTCCACTTCGTAAGATCCCGAAATTGGTACTCCAGATTTTGGGTCAGAAGCAATCGCATCCAACCTTTCTTTTACGTAATCATAAGGTGTCTTCTCATTTGATAATTCTACTTTATGAAACAGCTGAGCTGCTGTCATAGTAATAGCAGTAATGGTGAAAAATGTTGTCAACATTTTGTTGATGTGATCGTTACCGACGTAGTGCGACTGATGTCATTTCGTTAATGCAACCTTTATTTATAGTAAGGTTAAATTCGGTGGAACGAGGTGGTTTTTGTATTTGGGCGTGTGATAGTTTTCCTCAGCCGTCTGGGGCCCGTGTCCGGTGGTCCCCTTCCTGTGGTATTGTCTTAACTGATCCTAATGGAGCTGAAACAGTTAAAATAAAACAATGCGCGTGGTCAGAGACCTTGCTTTCCAGTTCATTGGCGGCGGCAGTGGGGCGTCGGTTTACGCAACCACCCGGCTCACTATAGGTGACACGTTTTCTCGGCTATTACCAAGAAATATGCTGGTGGTTTCTGGAAAAGTCGTCCAAGATGATGATATGTCTAATAAATCAGAATGCTTGAAAGTTTGTTGTAAGATGGACCTAATGTGAAAGCCTGTCGCTAAAAACTATAATCTCGGTAAATCTAGCGTCTAGTCTAGACAAACGACAGACGGAAACTTAATTGAATCAAATGCTTTTAGGGATCCATTAAATTACTTTTGTTAATTTTTTAATCTCCAAGTGTAAAAGAACTGAAACAAGTCGTCACCGAGTATAATAAGATTAACCTAAAAAATCTTTTCTTGTTTAATGACAATCTATTTTGCAATAATTTAATGAACAATGTTTAATTTCCTCTGTATCAAACGTTTCGGCCTTGGTTCTGATCGGACGATTTCACGTTATTGTTTTCTTACGGTCAAAATATGTGTCGAGGGCTCTAACAAAGGTTATCGCTCAAGAATTATATCAGGTGTCGATCAAGTGAGTCACTGATCTGATCACCTACGAATCACTCTTTGGAAAAATAGGAAGGATTGAATCGAAGCTGAGATACGTCAAGCTTGACTAGACTAGAACTATCAATGAAAAATTAATTTTAATCAAAAGTAGACATTTTAAAAACTAATCGTTGTAATTATTGTCATAAACTTTATGTTATAATATCTTAAAATATTATGTCTTCTTAGGTCCATTCGTCTATATGGCTAGAATTGAAGTCCTAAAGGAAAAAAATGTGTACTTTATAATGAGGTGCTCTGCATTAATGCTAAAGATTCTTATTTTGACTTTGAGAATGATCTGAATGGACCCAATTTTAATGTAGAAAAAACTCTTTCAGTAAGGCGGCAAATCTGTTGACAGAAGCTAAACGATCTTTTTCTATCAAACTGCTTTTTCAATTTTGTGAACAATTTATTATATTTGAAACAATAATATATTAACGGGTTTAGCGGAAACGTAAAATATCTAAGAGAAATCAGTATTTCAATATAAAAAAAGATTTGTGGTGACATAGTTTTAGATCGCGCTAGGACTAAACGCAAGTCTGAAACTTTGCGGTTTGTAACACATAGCCTTCTTTACTATCGCCAGTATTAACTGACTGAAAATGCAAGCCTCAATTCATGCGTTTTTGAGTTATCAACTGTACATGTACGTTTTTAAAAACTGTATCAGCCAAAGCTCTAAATAACTTTGTTATTCTATAAAAAATAATCGGCGAACTCAAGTTCATGCATAACGCTGTCGGGTTAAATAAAACTACTACAAAAGGTAATTAATTTTATCCGATTGAACCTCTATGGCGTGACATCGTTGAATCGTCGACGTCTGGGTTGTCGCTACGTTTGACGCAGACTTTTTTTTACAAAATAGCAAAACGATATACTTCTACTGAATATAAATGCACGGTTATGCAAAGCCCTTTTTTTATGTGAAAAGTAATATAAACTTAAAGAGTCACATTGTAATGTACGTATCTTCCATTGTGTGAATTTGCTTACATTGGTTTTTATAAAAAACAGCCGGCATACTGCTTCAACTCTTTTTTTATGATCTGTGTAGTAAAGAGTTTCGACTTGGTCGTTAGCTCGATTTCAAATGTGTGTGGAGTTAGATGTGGTCTGTATATAGGAGTTTGATGATACCCGAGAATATGTTAGGTAATATCGTAAATACACATTTCGGTTGTCCGAATTTAAATATTGGATCTCCGGTCTCGATGTTGTTAATATATTATAGGAAAGAACAGCATAAGAGCTAATCTCAGAAATGCCTTGTGAAACAGAGAAAAAAAAACCTATTGTTTTAAAATGAGGTAAAGAGTCCTTACTTAAAAAAAAAAATAAACGAGGTAATCATTCTAAATACAGCTTAATTAAACTCTTAATGTACATTAACGTAAGTAATTTAGCTCTTCATTCTAAATAAAAATTATGGTTTTCAATAACTACAATATTTAATGTTTGTAGAAATCTTTATCTTTTTCGAATTTATCACTTTCTTACTTAAGTACCCTTCGGAACTTTCATTAAACATCTTTGAAATATTAATAAAAAAATATGTAGATATTTTATGCTCGCATAATTCTTGTGGTGTGAAAGGAAATTCCCACCCAGACATAATTCAAAGTAAATTTATAGGCTCGTTTAATATAGCTCTTATAAAAGACCAAATAAATGACCTTATATCTATATATAGTCTATATAAATATGAAAATGAATTAGTATTTCCCTTGGTTACGCCATCACACGTGAAGGGCTGGACCGATTTCGCTAATTCTTTTTTTGTTTGTTTTTTATTCTTCGGAGAAGGTTGTTATGAAAAAAAAAGAAAATTATGTGGAAAGTTCGAAAATTTAAGAATATTTAACCACCATGTAAAATTATTTCTAATCTAACCTTGGTGCTTTAGATAATATAAACTTTTTCAATGTAACCTTATGACGTTTGACATAGAATTGACAGAAAGCGTGCTGCAAATATCGTCAAATAGGATATAAAAGAACTGAATATCGTTTAAAATTAGAATAATAAGCACTTTTGTTTTAAATCTTTTTTTTATTAATTAAACCAATTTGAATTCAATATTCATAACACAGGATAATGTCTGTCGGGTCAGCTACTTCTTAAAATGAATGTTTTATATTAAAAATTTTCTCCAGACTTTCCAAGCTTCCTTTATACAATATGACAACGTTATTCCAATTTTAATATATCAAAAAGATACAACTGTGTCCCAAGCTGCAGGATTTATTCGCCAAACGAAGTTATAAGGGCTTCTTAAAATATTTTCATGGTATTATAAAAATTAAATTATTTAGAGATTAGTATTAATATTATTTGTATAATAATTAGTAAAAACTCGGTACCGCGGCGCTGTGAATGATCGAAAACTCAATAGATATTTTCACAAACAGCAAAGCACAGATTTTTTAAATAATAACTTATAGCCTATACACAGAATATACTCTGATTAAAAACATAATAAATTCATAGGTTTGTGATCATATTGTGGTAATTTTTACTGCTATGAAAAAGGGTTACATGATGTTTTCACTTCTCAGGTTTTTTCAGTAGCATAAAACTTGTAATGATGCGTCGTACCACCGACCGTTTATTTCGTCCTAGGTTTCCGCATGCAAACTTTTTGTCTTTGATATTCAAAATTATTTCTTTTTATTATTCATCTTTCGTAATTTGAAATTTTGACTAATCCAATATGCTCTTTATGGATGTCAGTTCGTAAAAAAATCATCTGATGTGAACATGATAATGTAATCATATAAATTTAAATATAAAAATTTAATAATAATTAAGTTATTATAATTTAAATAAGAATAACGTTAATCTAAAAGTATATCGTCGTGAAATATCGTCCAAGTTTTATCTATAACAGAAAACCTAGAAACGGGGCATACATTTATTCTATTTAACAATTGTAAAATCAAGTACTCAAGCTTAGTCAGCCTTCCATTCATTCGCCCAAGCATCGAACCCATCACAAACTAAGTTGGATTAAGTTTAATGTGAATATTAAGTGCCAATTTTATGATCCCGATTATCATGTTCACATAAAATACTAGCGTGTGTAGACTTTATCGGTGCTATTTACGCTGAAATTGCAATTTTAGTATAGGTCTAAATTCATATTTTACAGAGAATAAGCAAACCCACTACCATCTAGGAGGAAACATTACAGCCGTAGAACCTCGTACTAGGTTAACATTTGCTAAGTCTCTGTTTAATAATATGAATTTTGATTAATACTAAGTGCAGTTTCAGCGTAAATTTACTCTAACGCTAAATCTTGTTTATTAATAATACTATGTTTATAGAGTGTCTAATATTTTTAACGTAAATAAGAATTCCAATAAATTAATTTGTTTTGCGTACATACTATTATTATGTGTTTGAGTTATAATTCCTTATTTGTTCGTTTACTTTATTTTGATACAAATATTTTCTCTTTTTTTTTCTATTAGTGAGTAGGCACCTAAAAAGTAGCCTGTACTCCTTCACTTAATTACATTTCTCTTCAAGAATTTCATATACTGTTGCTGAATTTCTTGAACACTGATCACGAATTCCCCTGGGGTGTGTCGGCTTCACCGTAGGATTTCGTTATTTGGTAGATTGCATTTTATTTGTACTTAACACGCGAATGTTAAAAAGAAAATGGATGGATGTTTCTTTATAAATGATGGTTATCTGTACAAATGTGTTAGAGTTTCTGATTACATGACACCTATCCAAATTGTCACTCCAACTTGGAGGTATTCAAATAAATAGACAAATTACAAAAAGTTTATACTCGTACCAATGTCTAAAATAATGGATCCGACCTTTTAGAAAAAGTTTTACGATACAAAGTTTTAATCTAAAACGAGTCATTAGACGAGCTTGTGGTCTCAGTTGAAAAGCAATTAGCGGAAATTGTTCTAAACAGCAGTAGTATCCTATTATAAAAGGTAAATATAGGAAAAGTATTTGTAACATCAAAACTGTTTAATTATAACGCCTGTTTAAAGTAATGAGCAATATAGCGTAATTATTTTTAAATACATCTCTCTGAAAAGGCGCTGATAATTTTGCTGTTGGCTAATTCTGGTGTATGTGTAATTGTGTTAGTGTGATTGAATATGTTGCCTCACCGTCACCTCTTCTTGTTTTCTCGCACA